ATACTTATTTATTTATTTATTTAATTTATTTATTTATTTATTTATTTATTTATTTATCTATTTATTATTTATTTATTTATTTATTTATTTATTTATTTATTTATTTATTTATTTATTTATGTGGATGATGTTTTTATTTGTTTTTGTTTTTTTTTTTTTTTAATTACCACCAATGATTTTTTTTTTTTTTATTCCTAGATTAGATTAGTATATCCCAATGTCGCGTGTGTTCATGTCCTCGTACATGTGATCATATCAGAATGATAAAATGTTACGTAATTCATTAATATCATACTTTTGTGCAATTACATGTTGATGAACATATTGTAAGTGTAAATAGTATCACCGCACTTCCTTATTTATATGCCATATATTTGCTATATGAATAAATAAATCAATCAGTAAATAAATCAATAGATAAATAAACAAATAAACTAATAATATTTGGTGTTATTTGATATCAATTGTATGATATATTAGTGTTATCAATGGTGTTATTGAACAATAATATGAAAATTATTTAATTTGAATAATTTTTCCTCCTTATCAGTATATAACTGATATCATTGATATCATTAATATTACAAATGCAAATAATATCTTAACAATTATATTCCATTTATTTATTAATCAATTAATAATATTTGACGCATATTGATTAATAATATGAAAAGCATTTTGTTAGAATTAAATCAGTACATACCCTTTAATCAATACATAACTGATAAAACTCAGTAAATCAGTACCCTTTAATCAGTACACAACTGATAAAACTAATACCACTGATATATCGTATAACTGTTATCACTTATACAATAAAACTTTACAAGAAAAATAAACAATTATTGTTATTACAAAATGAAACTTTATTATTTAATTTTTATAATTTTTCGTTTTTCAAACTACCAATTATATTATTACAAGAAAATATACATTTTTCATCCTTTTAATATCAAAAATTAATGGATAATTTTTCAATTTAAAATAAAAAATTATTCCAAAAGTGAAATTTGTTCTTTCTTTCTTTTTTTTCTTATCTAAAATTATTTTTCGAATTTTCTGGAAATAATTTTTCAAATTGATAAGCTATTTTCTTCGGGCAATCAATTTTAACCATCACTTAGTTAACAAATCCCTTACCAGCTGTTCATTGCCACCATCTGTGGAATATTCATTCTGCTCGCTTTCTTTGTTTATTCATTTTGTTTATCCATCTTGTTAAACTTCATCTTTGCATCATTTGAACTAGAAGAATGGAGAGGAAGGAATTATGAATGGATCTGTTACATTAATCTCATTAGTTGTTCATCCGTTATTTAGATAGTTTACACTAATTCCATCATTTCCTATTCCTAACTCGATCTTTTGGATTATTTGATGCTATTAAACAATAATATAGAATTTATCTTATTTTAAAAAATTTTTCTTCCTTATCAGTGTAAAATTTGCATCACTGATACATTATCATTCCTATCAAATAATATTGGCAAAATATTTAACCACACAATTCAGTTAAATGTTATACGAATTGAAATTTTATATTTCATTTTTATCATCATAAATACCATATAAAAACAATCATTATCATTATCATTATCATTGTCATTATCATTATTATTATCATCAGCATCATCATCATCATCACCATCTTTCATCGTTATTACTGTTATTATTTAAACAAAATTATCATTTCCCCTATTATAATAATCGTTATTTTCTAAGAATCATTATTATCATTATCACAATTATCATCACTCATTGCTATCATCGTCATCATCATTATCAGAATCAATATTACCAGTGTCTTCTTATTTCTATCGAAGTCATAAGCTTTTCTACCGTACCTTTCCTACCGTACGCTTTGAATCGTATCTCTAAAATCAGGAATTTTTGAAATTTCCAACACAACGAGAAACGAAGCAGGCACAATTCGTCAATATTTTCCTTTCAGGAATCAATCATTTGGTTCGGTTCAGTTTTTTTTTCTTTTTTTTTTTGTTTCTGGTGGCTTTTCCAGTTTAAGTAATTAAGAAGTGTGTTTGGAAGAAAAGAAAGGCGCTTATTTTATTTTTATGAAGTTATCAATTCACAATATTCCCTTGCATACCATTGTTTTTTTTTTTTTTAAACATGTAATATCATAAGTGATTGAAAAGAAATAATAATATGATAATTTGAAGCAAAATGGTTATCCATTGACTCTATGAGAAATAATAAGCAGACAATTTATCAGGTGATTTCTTAAAAGAAAAGGAATTTACAGTAAATGAAAAATAGCCGTTTTATTGCATATAAATTAATATATTATCTATTCTTAATTGAGCACGAGAAATATAAGTAAACAGACAAATTTTATTTCACACAGATTCTCTCATTCTCATTATTTTCCTCTTTTTTACCATTATTTCCTATTCCATCTACTGATGTGTTGTTTCATCAAAAGAATCAATAATTCCATGTTTGCATTGTTAATCTATTCTAGGAGTTTCAGACTTTCCAAAAATATTTACAGGATTTTGGCGCAAAATTTTGACAGGATTTCAAACAAAAAATATAAAAAAGATCTCACAATTATATCATTGTCCTGTAGAGTCTCTCTCCTTCTCTCTCTCTCTCTCTCTTCTTTTTTTTTCCTGGGAAAAATAATTATTTCGCTAGCTGAAAATGAAACAAATTATATATGGAGGTTAAATAATTGAATTTTTTGTGGAAATGGGAATTTTTTGAAAGAATCATATGTAAGCGTAAAATAAAATTACTGATTATTACAGTTTCATTCAGTATTGTTCCTGATTAAATTAGCATATAACTTCGAAATCTTTTATATAAAGGATTATTTTATATTCGTATCTGTTCCAATTATCCGAATTCATGTTCGTCTATTTATGTTTACATATTTATATCTAACTGTTATACTTATTTCATATACACCTATTTCATACTTATATATTTTAATTACTTTATGTTGATTTAAAGTAGCTTTCGTACAGTAGCGACATCAGTAGCAGAACAGATGTGGCAAATCTTCCTTTGTCATCAAAAAACGTATCGCCATATTGATTGGTTTCATTCCCAATTGTCGCAATGTTATTTCAGCTTATGACTAATCTCATAATGTTCCATTACGAAGAAGTATAGCATTCATTGTTCACTATGTCATCACAAGGTGGACAGCGGGCATTTGCTTCGAAACGAAATAAGTAAATCACCTCTATTTCTTTTTAGTTTTTTAATAACTTCCTGGTGGTGTTCCTGGTGGTTTTTAAAACGATCATTGTTATTCCAAAAAAGTGGAGGATGTTTAAGTTTTTTGTCTGTTATTTTTCTTCAAATATTTGTGCTTCTTGTTTTTCTTAAAATCTAAAACATTTCTGGAAAATATTAGTTCTAGTTTGGTGTTTTTATTATTTGCAGGATGACTGCAGCTGATGTACGTCGACATATTATGATGGGAAGTTTGTTACTGCATCCGCAAAATGCCATGCAAATGGATGCAACGGACAGTAGTCCTCAAACTGTTAGTTTTCACCGTATAATCTAGTGAAAGATGACTAAAAGATATCATCATTCTTGAAAGTTGTCGTTCTATTTGAAACCCTAAGTATCCTGAAATTGTCAAATTACAAATCGTCAAATTGTAAAAATCAAATTATAAATTTATGAAAAGGACTTTTGTTTCTCAAAAAAATCTTAGAAGTTAAGTAAAAAATTTATTTACAGTTCTTCATTATTGAGGAAATCATACAGAAAAAGTATATGCTAATATGTCAGACATTTGTTGTGAGTTATTAATTATAATGAAATTTCTAATTTAGCATGGATGAAGTATAAATGTGAAAATAAGAGAGTAATACTGAGTGGATTTATTTTTGAATAAAATTGTTCCTCAATCATTGTCTCCTGAAATGTTTTTTCTTGTCGTGTTGATAATTAAAATGCAAATGGTAAAATAATTGCATGACAAGAAATAAGGATTTGAACAAAAATTAGAATAAGAATCAGTTCCTCTTCCATATGACTAATTTGAAATGTAGTCATAAAAGCAGAATTTATCCTTGATTTTCAGATCAATTTAATTGAGATAGCTGAATCGCTGGATGTGGAAGACATCTTATCGCAACGAAAAAGCAACTCTTCCGTGAATGAACATATTGCCACTAACAGTAATTTGAGAAGGTTTGCGCGTAGCAACTTTCGACATATGTTTACAAAAATGCCTTCGATTTCAAGAGTATATTTCTTAGCAGACATCGGAGTTATATTTCGGAGTATCTTTCGTTCTGCTTCTTTTCACTATGACTTTCAGGATGGCAGAGTTTCCGGCTGATGATATCGAAGTACGTTTGGTATACCGAGATCAGCTTACGGTCGAATCACCGATTCCATCAAATCTTTCAGGGTTTTTTAATTTTTTCCTAAATGAATCACAAGTTGAGAGTTTTCAAAACTATGATTTTCAGTGAAGATTTGATTCATTTATTGCTTAGGGGTATTTGTTTACCACTGTTAGTAATTCAATCACTGTTTGCATTTTAATTTTATATGAATTCGGTATCTGCTACTTCATTTTTGAATAACCTTTTCCAGTGTCGATCCACTGGTAAAAGATATTATACAAACATACAATGATAGTTTTTCGCTAGTACAGCGAAAGTATGTGCAATATTCAAGCGGTGAAGCATATATTCGATTACTAATGGAACGGCCGATTATTGCTCAAACTACACCAAAACAAATTTTTGAAGTTGATTCGGACCGACCTATCGGGCGAAGTGTTAGCACAGTAGGCGAGGATCAGGTAAAAAGTATCGATAAACTACAAATATAACCTATACAAATGGTCTTAATCGTAATGTTGTACTTCAGCCTGTTTAACATGAAACTATATGCATGATATGTTCATTAAAAGCTTTTTGAAAAAAAGGAAGACCGTATAATATGAAAGAAGGATTTTTCAGCTAAATTATTTTAAAATTTGGAACATCTTAAACTTGGGACGAAGTGGTAATATCGCTTACCACAGATGGTGCTTATTAGATTGAATAGACATTTGCTTTATTCAAACGTCGGTTCAATCCGATAAGCATCATTTTACAGCAAATGCTGTTAGCAGTCTACTGCAGATATCACCCATTGTAACAACACATAATAATGCAGCGTATAATATTTTTTGAATACAGCTTCCGGAATTCCTTAAAGTTCTTGTGAAGTTTGAAATTGTCATGACTGATTGTTATATCATAGGTGAACCTGTGCACGTTAGAAATGCGTGTATGTTAAAAATAATTTTTTAGCATACATTTTTTAACATACACTTTTTAAAAGCTGTTACCAATTTTCAAGCACATTTGCAGGATTTTTTGACTGTATAGTATAGGTTGATTAAGGATTTTTAGTTTGTAGTGTTTTTACGTTGAGTTTACAACAACTCATTAATTACTTGTTTGTGAATTAAATTTGAAAGGTGTGCGTTATGAAATATTTCAAGAAACTTGGTAGTATTACTTTTATCTCCAATCAAGTATGTTGCAACATAATCGTAAAGAAGAGTAATTATTCTTGAAAATTTTATGATGTCTAAACTTCGAAACATTTGCTAGGTTAAATTATCTGTTCATTCGCTTAGACTGTTTATCAAATATTAGGTTACAAAAAGAAGTCAGTCATACATTTTACTTGTTAAGGTACAATGGTAATTAAGCTTTAGTGCATCGTTATATACATTCTCTATCGCAGTTAGACAAAATGAAAAGAGTTGGTAGTTTGATTTAAAATAATCTTAAGTCATGTATTTTGCCATAAGTTTTTACTTTTTTTTATTCTTTATGTTATGAGTGATATAATTTCGGAATCGATAATAACAGATCGCAAAACGTGACTCATTCGGTTCACACTATTCGTCCGATTCAATGTGTACTGTTGGTTCGTCATCCGGTGGAACGAATCGTGATGATACCTTGCGTGCACCTCATCAACTTCATTCTTCTGCTAGTGATCCCACAGTGCCAGGTTTGCGGATTAAATTAGAAGGAAAAAACCCTAAATAAGGATGAAATTCACAGATCATATTAATAATTATTGGAAAAAAATCAGATCTACTGATCATTTTTAGGGTAGTTTTTCATCAGATGATTACCAAAAATAGCTAGACACTCATTTTTAAAAATGTTATTGTAAAAAAACATGTCATCGAATATAAAAAATTCTTTTTGTCAGGTGTGATGCAGCGTATTTCAAATACACAACTTGATCAAATTAATGAAGCCCGAAGACGAGCCCATCGACAAAATGCATTGATTAACTTACTTCCGCCTCAACCCGAAGTTTGTGTTACACAGTTGATTCAATTTTTTATTTTATTTCATGAAGCATACTACCTTTCTGATGGAGATTTTCCTGCCATTCAAGAGTATAAAACACCTAAAATATGTAGTAAGCTATTTGACGGTTTTTTATATGTACATTCGAAGCTGAGAATCTGGTGCTTCATGGCGCGTAACAAAATTGTTTAGACTGATGTAATTGAACGTCGAAGCGCAGCGCCATTCCCGGTTGAGCATACGGGTCAGAAACTTTTCATCAAAGTTTTGAAGGTTAGTAGTTGAGCTTTCGAAATTTCAGTTTTTTTAAATTCACTTAATTTGGCCTCTCGGAGAGATTCCAAATTGCTGTAAAGCTTTGACCTTCTTTCTCCACCTGTGTGTTAACTTGTTTTCTTACAAGTAAAAAAGAAATCTTTACCACGCTGGAATGCATACAGTATAACTAAGAAAATATGATACCTTATGATGTATAGTATACAGTACGCAGTATGATTTTTGCCATTTCTTATCGTATTTATATTTCTGCTTGGTACTTATTGAGATATATTTTCAATAAAAACGAAGTGAGACATAGTTTCAACAGGAATTTCATTTGTTTAAACAGTTTTGATTTTTCAGTTACAGCTTGAACCTTCGTTCGAACCTGTTTTCGGTACCATAGTGCTTTATGATTTGAAGGGAAAGCGAAAAGTAGGCATTCAGCAAATTAAATTTTATTTTCCTCAAAAACTGTATCTTTTAAATTTAAGGAATCAGTTTTTGTCAGTTGAAGTTTTTGGCTGTATTTCGTCGCCGCCAATTCGACAAAGCTTTAGTTCTGGATTTTCATAATTATATAGAAACACCCATTACTACCATTGCCATCTAGAATTATTGAGGACTATTGAAAATCAAGAACTGGTAAAGGTTGCTGAAGATTGAATAATCATGAATTTTCAGATATCGGAAAATTTCTATTTTGATGTAAATGATGATTTGCTCCAAGCAATGATTTCGCAACACGCTGATTGTGTGGATGAGGCAAGCAAATGTACACAAGCGGTTTTCAGTATAAGTCAACCACTGAATGATATATTTATTGTCATCAAGGTAGAAAAAATAAAGTATCAGCAGAATGTTATATTTAACTTTGGGAAATTCTTCGAAATTTTCGAATCTGAATTCAAATTTTCAGCTGGAAAAAGTGTTACAACCATGCGAAGTAGCAGATGCATGTGAGCCGTATCTGAAAGAAGATAAAAACAAGGAACGGTTGATGCAAACGGCACAGCACTATTGTGAACGACTTGGTGCTTTTCGAATGCCACTTGGTTGGTTTGCCATTGACCTGAATCAAATCCTTAATGGATCACACCGTCCGGATAAAACGGAAGCATTAACGGCAATGATTGCGAGCTCTGTTGCTGGTTATTTTTTTTTCTTTTTTTTGCACTATCTCTCTGAATTATGAATTTCCTGAATATGGTTATTTTGCGGATAAATTAAGTAAAGAGGGTTTTATGGTTATCTTTTATTCAAAAAAATTGTTTTGATTACTTTAATCCAGTTTTTTCGGCATGTTGAAATTGATAAATTGATGAAGCTGATAAGGCAAGATTTCCCTAAAATCTTTTAAGATGTTCTTATCCGCTTTTCAATTTTAATAATTATAATTTCTCACAATTGTAGCATTTGCAGGACAGGATGTAACACCAGCTTCACCAACTACATTGTTCGATGTAGAAAGTATTATCAGTATGGGTGAGTTGGTTATATCTTTAAAAGATTTCGGATTCTGAGGATTGGTCGTAGATGTTTTTGGGATGTGGTAATTTTCTAAACTGTATTATATTTCAATTAGATTTTCGTTTTCATTTTAAGGGACTCAGCTTAAAACTTTATTCCACGAGGTTTAAATTGATTGAAATGGCAAATTAAAGCCGATCTTTCTTTCAGATCGAATATCGAATTCAACATCCGGAACATTTCGTCGCGTGGGTAGCGGAACTTCATCCGGTGCTGTTTTTGTGGGTGCACAGCAACCCCAAAAAAGTCGTACACCATTGCAAAAACGTAAAATTTTTGGAGGCCTTCATTTGACTATCTCGCAAAGTGATACAACTGCAGTGGGATCAGGTCTCGAAACTGACTCACTACTGAGAGATGGCGGTTCCCCGTTGACTTCTTTAAATGCTTTACAACCTTTGCTGCTCAGTTTAAATTCGTTCTTTAGACAGGTAATGTTAAGTTAAAAATTTGTGAATTTTGTATGATGTGAGCTAAATTGTTTCAAAATTTTTGGAGGGATTAATAAAGGTGGCCATTATCCAAATATTGCTGACACCCAACAATAATGTATGATTATGTACTGTCAAAAATCGTGGTAATGTTATGGTGCTAAATCTCTTAATCCAGTTGTTATTATTGATTACCATTCACCAGTGATCGTAGTGGGAATTCCGGTTTGTATATGTATGAAATTTATATTTTGCATGCTTCATGTGAAATTTATATTTTTTTTAAAATTCAAATTTCATTATTTTCTACTTTTTGACCACCACTAATAGGAAGCAGAACGTTTGACTGATGAGGATCTGTGCAAAATGCTTGCGGATTGTCGAAAAGGTGGTTCCAAGTTAGCTAGGCTGAAGACATTTCCAATCACATTCAAAATGGAATTGTCAGGTGGATGTGGCGAGTCTTTAATGAGGTACCAGATTGACTATTATTATTATTGTATATTTTTAATGCTATATTTCCTTTTTGCAGTTTATTCTTCCTATGTTTATTGTAGAATATAGTATTTGAAGAGATAAAATCCACGATCTCTCTGTTCGGACAATCAAGTTTTTGAAAATTAACTAGAATTTGCATTTCTGATTGGTTATAAAGAAAAATCTGTTATTGGTCCTTGAAGATATGGATTAGTCATGTGGATATATAATTAAGATATATAATTGACTGAGATATATAATTAGCTAAGTATTTTATGCATTTTCCGGCTTACACCTGAACTTCTTCGTGTGCATCCATTCGTTTCTGGCAATCCAGCGGATATCGTCAAGGAAATTGTAGAATTTCCAAGTAAAGGAATTTATGCAGTAAATGCTACATATAGGTAAACTGTCGAATTCGTTAAATATTACTCATACTTCATATTTTCCTTGTTTTCTTCTTGGTGAAATGATGATATCTTAGGAACTTGCTTTACGTTTATCCTCGATCAGTAAATTTATCCAGTCGCTCTGGCCCATCACGTAACATTGCCATACATGTGGAACTGATGAATGCCCAGGAAAAACCTGTTTATGCTATATTTGGTAAATCGAGTGGGCCAAACATTACTTTTTCTGCTGATACTGCAGTTTCCTATCATAACAAGTAATTATTGAAATATGTTTCAAATAGATGTAATGGATATAGATAAAGTAACAATCAAAGCAAGTAAATTGTTATATGGTTGTGTTTGTAGAGAACTTCACTTACCTTTTTGTCCTTTGGGGTGATAGCGTCCAGAAAATTTTTAACGTGAGTTTACAGAAAATCCAAAGATGAATATCACTGGCTATTTAACACACGTGGATTTGTGGTTCTTGTTATTCCGTCACTCACTTCTAGTGGACGAACGGCATTTAAGAAGAAATTTAATAACTCATTAAATTTTTCTTGTGTTGAATGGCATAGATTTAGATAAAATGGCACAATGTTTGTGGTATTAACAAAGTGAATGGCTGCTTCCGAATTTTAGAATAAAATTTCGTTTTTTCTTTTTTTTTGAAAATTTAATTTCAGAACACCAAGTTTCTACGATGAAATAAAAGTCAATTTGCCGGTTGATTTAAATGATGGCCATCACATACTATTCACTTTTTTCCACATTACTTGTAAGCCAAATAAAGTTGGCGATGAAGTAAAAATACCCATAGGGTATTCATGGATTCCACTGCTGAAAGATGGACGATTGCAAACTGGTGAATTTACTTTGCCGATTGCATTAGAACAGTTACCGCAAAGTTACGGGTATCTTTCACCGGATGTTAATTTACCGAATGTTAGATGGCTGGAAGGACACAAACCGCTTTTTGATGTTAAACTTGAGGCTGTTACAACAGTTCATACACAGGTAAGATGCGCATATATTCTAATGTTTTTGTTTCGTTAAGAAGTTAAGCCAACTTAGTTTGTCAGATAGTCAGTTCTATTCAGTCGTTCCTTTTCCCACGAAGAGAAATATAAAACCAGTTTTGAAAGTATTACCAACTATTATTTTCAGGACTCTCATTTGGACAGATTTCTGGCTGCGTATCAATCGTTAATTGTAAACGATAAAAAGAATCCACCGGTATCGGAAGTCGATTTAAAGGATGCAATAAGAAGTGTCATAAAAGCTCGCCCGGAACCAATGGTTGCTTTCCTTTATGTTATACTGGATAAGTTGTTGGCTCTAATTGCAAATCCTCCATATACCGGTTTGTTTCGTTATTTTCAATTATGTATTTTTGGGATGAATATTGGTCAGAACTATCATAAACGGATTTTTAAATAAGACATTTCTATTTGTGAACTGTGATCTTTAGATAACACTCGACAGTATGTCTTCTGGGATTACATGAACTCTTAGTCCTTCTCTTCTTCGATAACGACATATAACTATCATTATCTTGATGCCCACGTTCAGTTTAGGTTGAATAGTTGAGTGCGTTTTCAGTTTTCAAATTCATTTTTAATGTTATCGATTTTTTGCAGTATCTGTGTCAGCTGTATGCTTTGAAGTGCTTGGACAACTTGTCAAAATATGTACCGTTCTCTTGAATAGCTTCCGCGATGCCCATGGTCGTAGTTCACTCCTCACCACATATATACATTACCACAAAATTGCCCTTAGAGGTTTATTATAGATTTACTTAATTCTGTTAATTTACAATTATAACTTAACAATGACATTATTTATTACGAATTAAGGTGTCAATATAATTAACGTTTACGTAATGAAATTTCGATGGTTTTCTTAGATTTAGAAACTCCAATCGTACAACTAAAGAGCAGTAAGACGGAGGCGAAATCGGAAGGTACTCTACCTACTTCACCAGAAAGCAAGCATTTGCTCGATATTATTAGTAAGTGGAGTTTAATTTCGGAATTTGATTTGATGAACATACCTCTTATGATTTTTTTTTTGGATTTTATATTTGATACTTTTGTTGAAATTGGTGTATGCAGTGATCAAATCAGACTCTTAATTATTGGAAAATGGCTCATTTTCATTTCAGTGTGTTATAATTTATTCTGAAAAAGATGGTTAGGGTATCCTTTTATGAAAATCGGGCAATAAATAAAAAAAATTTTTTAAAGAAGAATTTGAACGAACAAATTACATGAAGGCATCTGTTGAAGGTGACCGTGAACCGAAAGAATCGAAAAAGGTTATGCAGTGTATTTTTGACTAGTTTTCATGAATCTTTCTAGTAATCCAATGTTTTACATTTAAGAGTTTGTTATTCAGAGTTCAGCTTCAGCTGAAGCGAGCAAGAACAAGATTAGACTTGAACAATTAAAATTTTCAAGTGGCAACTTTCTGAATTGGTATGAGTAATAACAGAAACAATAGAAAAATGTGTCGGAAACGCAATTGATTGAAGTAGGTTATGTGAAAATTGCAGTTATAATTGAATGGTCGATTCTGGTTAGACGGAATTTCCACTGAGATTTCAAAGTTATTCTGATAAAATTTTCAATAATTTTTAGGATCCATTTCGCATATATCGAGTTCTTGCAGGTGATGCACGAAGAATTAGCATTGCAGTGGGTAATCAGTGGTGGTGCAGCTCGAGAAATGGCTTTTCTTAATTCCTGGTTCTTCCTTGAACTTATGGTATGTTTCCTTATACCAAGTTTATTGAGTCGTTTATTTATGTAGTATTTATTTATGGAACTTATATAAGGTTAGAGCAATCCAATTATTCCTCTATTCTTTGCGATGTAAATCGAATAATATTCAGGCCAAATAATGAAGACGACTTATGCAGCATATTTAACATATTTTTGTTTTTATTTTCCTAGCACACTTTCGTTTTTTATTCAGAGTACTTTTTTTATAGATTAAATCAATGGCAGAACATTTATCTCTTTCAAATCGTTTGTATTTGCCGCGCAAGCTTCGCTTTAGTGAAGCTTTTATCCAAGATTTGAATGCCCTTTCTCAGGCTGTTGTCAGCGAGGTGGTCCAAAGAACTTCGAAAGATCCAAGACAGGTATTTCCATGGCATAGTTAATTGTTCAGGCAAAAGATATCTGCGTTATTTAAAAACAGGGCGATAATAAGCTGTGACATGCATTCACGCAATGGTATTGATAACGACTGCAACAAAAGGAAGAGGGGAATATAATATGTGTTTGTTATCAGTGTATGGGATAGGATTGAATTTATCTACTTCAGTCGCAATCAATCAGTATTTCTTGGGCATATTTCTTGCGTGATTGTTTTTCATTGATGGATCGAACTTTTGTGATGACATTGGTCAGAGAGTTTAACCGCGAAATCGCTGCTAAAATAGGGTAATTTTTGTAGAAATTCTCTTTTAAAAAAAACTGAATTCATTTTCTGAATTATTAATATTCAAATTGACTGTTGTTCCAGAAACTCGATCTTGAGGTTTTTTCAAATCTGCATGTAGTCTTTCTGACCAAGATATTTTATAAATAATAAATGCGCCAAACTGAACACTCAATGTAAATGAATAGCGATGAAGAGCTTATTTGGCATAATTATAATTGCTGGATTTTATGGTGCTGGGAATTTGTTGACATTACTTTTTTTTTCTAGAAACTCCGCCGAATCATGCATGGTCCCGACCCTCATGCTAATTAAGTTGGACTTTTTGCGTATTATTGCTTCTCATGAGCATTTCGTTGTGTTGAACTTGCCATTTGGTTCTGGTAACATACAGGGTATGTCAACAAGCCATTCCGGTGGATCATTTCATGTATGTTTTGGATTTTAAGGGATTTGTCATTTTTAATCAACTAATCAATACTAACTACCTCTTTCTGGTCTCGATCACTTCGAATTTCAGTCAGCAGCATCGGCATTTTCATCTAGTTCGGAAGGTAGCGCCAATTTAACTGCATCGTTGCGTCATTCTTCACATATCCAACTTCCTAGTCCAGGAAATTCAAATATCACTGACAGGTTTGATTTAGTTTTTCAAGGTCAAAAATTTTGAATTTCGGAAATCCATCTTTTGACAAATTTCCGAAACTACCGGTTTGTTTTTTCTTTTTTTCTATTCGGAACAGAACCAGTTTTATAAAGCCTTTTTTGTTCTTCAAGTCAAGCATATGAATCACATGGTCCAGTTGGATCAGCAGAGTTAACTGTTGAGTTTCGTTCGCGGCATTTTCTAATTGGGCTTGCCCTAGCTGACCTGGCTTCTGTTCTTGAGACTTCAAACACTCTGCTTCAATCACGGTTAGTTCTTTTCACGTTTCGAGTTGTGAGACTCGCTCTAATTTCCATTTTTGAAAAAAAATGTTCACTTGTGCCATATTTCTATTTATTTAATAACTTCGATTTATATTACTATACATTTACGCTGTCTTAATTTTGGGACTATTTGCAGTGCTATAAGCCTTATTCGTAATTTGCTGAGCACCCATGAATTGGATGCTCGTCTTCTTGATAACACGGTGAAAGCGCGAGTGGCATCCTTATATTTACCAATGATCGGCATTGTTCTGGATGCATCAGCTCAATTGCATGACCCTTACTCGAAATCTTCTAGTGCTAACTATGAGATTTCCACATCCGTTTCTAGTGGGTAAGCTTTCCGGTTTTGCACGAACCTTTCAGAATTTACCGTTTTCAAATTTTGGAAGATTGTAGCTATTTCTAAATTATCCCAAATTACAGTTACGCAACAGAAATAGACAACAGTCCATTTATCAACGATAAAGTTATGCTTGCAATTGGTGGGGTGAATTTTTCGCCACCTTGCTCACCACGGACCGAACGAAGACATATTGGTTTAATGCGACCATCACTTTCATTGGAAAATACACGTCAGGTGATAATTTGTATAAAACATATGTAATCACCATAAAGTTTAATGAAGTTTAATGCGGGATCATTGAATCAAATCATTTTGTATTTCCATTTTTCAAATTTTATTTCTTAAAATTTCTTCCAGCTGTTAGCATGTTTTTGTTGGGCGCTGAAAAATATGGAGCGGTCATATTTGCGTCAATGGATTCGCGATTTATCATCCAACCGAATTTTACAGTTTCTCAATGTTTTACAGCTTGCTGTTTCATGCTTCGAATTCAGATCATCTCTTTTCTGTTCTGATCAAGTACTGGTCACATTTTTTTCTAACAGTTCTTATTTCTTGTAAGAAAGACTCAAAATTAAGAACTTAAAATTTCTACAAATTTTCTTTCTGGAAAGTTGTATAATATGATGGTAAAACGATTGAATTGTTTATTGGGAGTTTGCAGGGTACCACTGAGATTACAGAAGAAGTAAAGGATGAAGGTAGTAATATCGAAGGTTTGTCGGTCAAAGAGGTTAGCCGGAAAAAATTACGCTGTGCAGCCGATCCTGAAAGTGGTGTTCGATGGCGTAAAGAAACCAAAGATTCACAAGGGAAAGATTCTTGGAAAAGTTGCACTGGTAGTAGTGGTGGACAGTCAACTGATGAACCTATCCGTAAATTTTCACTCACTATTATGATATTACATGTTTGTAATCGCTGAAGTATCTCGAAGTTAAGTTGGAGTTGTGAAATACTGAGAAAATCATTATAGTATAGAAAAATCCGGATGCCATTTATATTCCAGAATTAATTCGTTTGGTTTAGCAAGTGATGAAGATCTTACGCTTGAAGCGACACTTTGCACCGAGATACCATTAATAGTGCTGGATACGTTAGAATTAATTATACGTGTGGTTTCGGTTCTTGGTTCTGATTATCTCTTTTATGTGTTACCTTCCGTATTAAAAGTATTGGTGAGTTTGTCATTTTTATTGTTCTGAATTATTTTTCGCCATTTTGAAGTTCAAAAACATATTGTTTTGCTTGAATACCATTAGCTGCGAGAAGCACATGTTCCATATTCCTATACGTTATAGTTGCATTGCAGATGTTGAGGATTTATTGTCTTAATACCCAAATCGATGGGTAAAATTAATGTCAGGATTGTTACTATTGAAAAACCGAAACTTGAATACTGAAATAAATAAAAAGTGGATGAACGAAATAGTCAAGTTAGCAGTTGAATATAATACTATGGAAAAAATAAAAAGTTTAATTTTTTGAAGATGCACATTCTTGCATGCAACCAGTCTGTGCAAACTTTGGAAAATGTATTTGCAAGTCAGCGTGCAATAGTTACGAAGTATCCAGATTTATTGTTTGAACAGGTTAATATTTGTATATTTTTGAAATATACTGGTTTTCAGTTAGTTTCTTAGTTTGAATTCTCGAAATACTGACTGTTATTGGTTTTTTTATTCGAGTCTATCTTTCCTGGATACATCTCTTATTTTTATTCAGAACCTTTTGTTTCGCCTTTTCTACGTGTATGTGTATCTTTCACATAAGCATGTTTATCTGTCATCACATAGGCTTTAAGAATTATTGTGGTAACTGACGCAGATGATTTGTTTGCAGGAGACTGAACAATGCGGTGAATTATGCCTTCATCTACTAAGACATTGTGCATCCCGGTTGCCAGCTGTTCGTTCGCAGGTACTATTAAAGTTTTGAAAAGCTTGAAATCTTTAAATTTAATTTATTTCACTCTTAAAATTAGCAGTTTATTGTCGATTTCAAAAAATTCATGGGAATATTTAGTAAGAATTGCGGCATCTGTAGTCCCATTAAAGTTGTGGAACTATAGGTGCCACAATTTCTTTTAAGATAATTTACAAAGATAAAAATAGATATAACTTTACACAAAGAAAAGGCGGTAGATCATTCTCTCACATTATTTAAACGAATTTGGAATAGTTTTGTGCGGCAAGCATTAGCATTTCGTGACAAAGAAGTAAGCTGAAAGTAAGAGTGGTCAGGATAAAATCTTTACGGAAATAGTACAAAACTCTCTTCGTTTATCAAGTATCGTAATATGAAGCTGGATTTACTTATTTGATAGGAAAGAATTTGTAGGCTGCAGCATCGTTATACCTGTTGATGAGGCAGAGTTTCGAATCAGGAGCAAGTTTTTCAAAAGTTAAGATGCAAATTACGATGTCATTGAGTACTTTGGTTTCCACGGGCACCAAACATGGTGACTGGATAAATGAAGATTGTTTACGTCACAGTTTAAAAACTGTGCTAACATATTCAGAAACGGACGCTTCCGTTGATTCGCAGCTGCGCAACACTACTTTTTCAGAGCAGGTTAATTGCATAAAGTGTCAATTTTTGAATTAATATTTTTAAACTTTTTTGTGCGATTCAGAGTTGTCAGATAAGAAAGCATGGAGCATGTTGCATTGCAGGTAAAAGATCTTGTTTTCAATTTGCATATGATATTGTCGGACACAGTGAAAATGAAGGAATACACAAATGATTTTGAAATGCTAATCGATCTCATGTATCGTGTCGCGAAAGGATATCAGAACAATCCAGATCTTAGGTTAGCGTCATTTTTTATCATCCGTTATTAGAACATATCCTAACTTTACTTGAATTATTTCATACTAACTGGTTATTCTTCATGTCATATTTTTTGTATTAGTATGACCGTATTCGATAGGCAATCAAACTGTGGTAATCATCAAACCGTTCCATTGAATTCTTGACTTGGTTGAAATTCAGACTATCTGCCAAAGTGCTATGGTATCATCTGGTATCATCCCTCCCATACCTCATTGATTCTGTACAAATTCCTCTTTTTTTTTACAACCTTGAAACTGAATTTCGTTTTGAAATATACAGTACTTGGCTTCAAATGTGATGACTTAGGTTGACGTGGTTGATAAATATGGCAAATAAGCATTCAGCCCGGGATAATGCAGCGGAAGCCGCACAATGTATGTTACATGCAGCCGCTTTAGCTGCTGAATATATTTCGATGCGTGAGTATGATGTGTATGTGCCTAAAGGTGCTGCTGCTTTCGAAGCCATAAGTGATAATATTCTCGAAGAAAGTGCTGTTTCAGATGATGTTATTAGGTAATGTTTTTTATTTATTTTTTTTCTCATCTATATCTTAAAAAATATTTCCCATCTATATCTTAGATTTGTCGTAATAATTCAAGGATGAATCTTAGTTTTCTCATGGACTGTTAGGATTTTTTTTTCGTTTTACTTTCAAATGAGACTGAAATTCTTTGCTTTAAAAGATTTCTCGTCTGAAAGATGACAAGAATTTGTTGACGCAATAGGTACTACGCATTCGAATGAATTTTCAGTCCTGATGAAGAAGGTATTTGTGAAAGTCGTCATTTTACACAAAATGGTTTAGTACATTTGGTAGAGAAAACGGCGCAGTTTATGGAGAAAGCTCAAATGTATGAATCAATGGTACAACTCTACAAGGTTATTAAGCATTCCTATAGTTCCATTGTAACCTAGCTTTTTTTTTAAAAATTCCAATTACTTATAAAAATTTCGAACTCTCATACAATCCTTCCATTCCAATTACTTGTTTATATTAGGTAATAACACCAATTTTGGAAGAAAATCGTGATTATCGGCATTTGGCACAAGTACATAGTTGTCTGAGTCAAGCGCTTTCTCGTATCGAACCAACTATACCGCTGGTTGAAGACATTGCTGATGCGTGGTTTTCACCTTTACCAAGGTATATGCGAAAGAATTTGAAATTAATTCATTCGTGCTATAACATTTAATTTTTAAAAAATTTGAGAATAATGTTAATTTTACATAACGCAAGATTTTTTTTTGTTTTGACGTTGAACAGCTGTCTGCATAATTTTTTGCTCAAACGACATTTGCAGGTAGCTATGACTATTATAATTAATTATCAAAAGTTAATTCAAGCATTTGAAAACATTTATGATAAAGAAATAAATGGAAAAATATGGTTGTAGCGACAACAAAACGATATACTTGAAAAAATATGGTTGTATTTCGGTTGTAGTGTGAAGAGTGCACAGAAACTTTATTCTCTACTGACATCAGATTTTGAGAATTTGTTGAAATTTCAGTGCCGACAAACGTTGTTTCGGTACCTATTTTCGGGTAGGTTTTTATGGCAGTCGTTTTGGTGATTTGGACGGTGTCGAATTCATCTATAAAGAGCCGGCAATTACGAAATTGTCCGAAATTAGCCATCGTTTGGATGCATTTTACACAGATCGTTTTGGAAAAGGAGTTGTGGAAGTTATTAAAGATTCAAATATTGTATGTTTCCCGTTCTTGAGTAAATTTCGGTGATAATATTATTCGTATGTTGAAGTTTTTTTAAAGAAGGTTGCCCTAATTAATGTGTGAAGTCGGTTTGTAGGTTGATCGAAATCGTTTGGATTCTACCAAAGCCTATTTGCAAATCACATATGTAGAACCGTATTTGGAGAGTTGGGAACGGCGTCGTCGTCCCACTCATTTCGAGAGAAATCACAAGTTATATCGATTTGTCTATGCGACACCGTTTACGAAAGATGGTCGGGCCCATGGTGATTTGAAGGATCAGTACAAAAGACGAACTGTGCTAGCCACGCAATATTGGTAACTTGGAATCAAATTTCAAATTCATAATTTTTATACGAGATATTAAAGCATGACAGTTTTTGTAAAAGCTTCATGCAAATCAAGACCTTTGCTGCATGTTCATGACCCAATCCAGAAGAAAGCAATTTGCAGCACTGCAATCAAAATAATGTTTTGATGAAAACGTAGATGCCTTTCAGGGAATTTACATACATGAAAGACGTTGAATGAATTTTGTTTTTTCATCTTTTTATGAATTTTTTTCTGCATAGATGAACTGCTTATCTTTTCAGTTTTCCATACGTAAAAACACGCCTTCAAGTGGTGAGTCGCGAACAAATAATTTTGACGCCAATTGAAGTTGCAATTGAAGATGTCCAAAAACGAACTCGTGAATTAGCTGCTGCTACTGCGCAAGATCCACCAGATGCTAAAATGCTTCAAATGGTACTGCAAGGTTGCATTGGTACCACTGTCAACCAAGGTCCTATAGAAGTAAGTCTGAAAGTTTTGTAAACTTACCAAAATATTAAAGGAAGTAAGTAAGCAAGGTGCTCATGATTTGGCTCCCACTAGATTTCTAAATTCAAAAATTTTCTTTATTTTTTGGAAGATCTTTTCTTCCTCCTTTTTATATCTTATAACATTTTGTAATGGGTGATGTCTGCTTTTTTTGGGTTGTACAGATGAGGAGATCCTTGTTTTCATTATCATTTCAGTAATAACTTCACAAAGATTCTTATTTAAAGGTTGCCAACGTATTCCTTACAAATATGGTTTTGGATGAACGTGGCAAACCGATGGATAAATTCCAGAATAAGCTTCGCTTATGTTTCAAAGATTTCTCGAAGAAATGTGCTGATGCTCTTCAGAAGAACAGAAAACTTATTCAGGCTGATCAGCAGGCTTATCAGGTTAGCTTATTGAATTCATTCATCTATTCCATTCCCATGATGAATTATTCAGACGAAATTTCTTGGTGAGAATTTGATTTTTATAAAATTGCAGAATGAACTGCAGAAAAATTATATCGAATTTACAAAACGAATGGCACCGATTGTTGGCATCCGTAAAAGTAAGTGTTCTGAAGCACATACTCTAAAAGCTGTACATGCAGCTGCTGTTGCTGCTGAAATTGGGCCGGTTACTGCAGTGTGATAAAAATGAAGCAACTTTAGTTATTTTGCTTCCTTTCGTTGTTTTTTTTTCTTTGTTAATTTGAAGAAGTAAATTACATAGGAAACGATAAATTACATTACATTTCTTCCAGTTTTTTGTACGTCATTTATGAGTCATTTCTTCTTTGTCGTCCATCTCTTTCGATTCTCTTTACTGATCCTAGTAGTGTCACAGTGCTCACTTTATTCAACTATTATCATTTACTACTTTATCACTTTACTCAACTGTTATCTATTTTTACGTTGGGTGGGGTATCAGGTCGAAATTCATACACATACTGGAAGTTTCCTAAATGCCATTTTGAGGACTGCCAGTTTTTTGCATTTTTTTTTTGAGTTATTCAAATTTGGAAAGGAAAGAATGCCAATGCTTTCATGTCCTAATTTCATCTTGGTTGAATTGAATTTTGGATTTATCACCCTTCGGTACTTTAACCTAATACGAAAAAACGGTTGAATCTTTGAAGTTTCACGTTCAAATGTGGTATTAGTTGATTCCTCATAAAATATTAAAGTCCAAAAGTCTTGGCTTCCCTTTTGCTTGTCTCTTCTACTTCTTCAATTCTTAAGTTTTCATTCTTTTTTAAAAATTTATGTTGCTTAGATTTCTCAGTGCAGAACGCTTTCTGAAGGTAGTTTGTGATTGTCCATCAAATATGACAATTCAACGATCTTCTAAATGAGGCATTTGGTTTCAGCAGTTCAAATTTTCATTAGGTTAAATTTTTATAAACAAACTGTTTTTAAGTTTTCTTCAACAAAAATATTTCTGTGTATTTGGGAAATTGTAGCTTATCGAGTGTTTTTTTTGTAGAAACTAGTATCCTTTGTTTGGTTAGCGATCAAACTTTTAATGAACATCGAATGTATCGCGACTCGATATGAGACGTGCATGGTGTATGTATGTGTGTGTGTGTAGGTGTGTGTGTGTGTGTGTGTGCGTATGTGTGCGTATGTGTGTGTTTGTGAGCTGTACGCTAACGTTCCTGGTTTTCCAATAGATTTAAGATTACCTTGATTTATCAATTTGTCAAATCCTGGAGTTGACTTAATTTTTCTAAAACTTTTCGCCAAAAAATTTTAATACGTACAATAGCGAAAACCAAAACTAGAACTAAAATTTGAACTCGAAATTTTCGAGTCGAGGACTTAAGTAATTGAAAAATGATAATTAAGACTGAAATACTTGTCATTTCAATAAGGAACAAATCCTTCTAAAAAAGAATGTCCTCCTGTCAACTGCTGTATGCAATTCAGTTTTAGCAATTTTAGCTCTGTGTGTTTTTCACGCGACATGGAAGATTAAGCCATGTGAAATATGAAGGAATGTATTACTAGTAGTACGTTAACACTTCATGACAGACTATTCTTAATATAATTTTATTTCTAATTCGGTATATAATACCATTTCCCGTAATTGTGTTCATAATTTTCATACTGTTTTCTGTGAATAAGATTGATATGCATAAATTTAAAGGTTTGCGAGAGTTTTCCACCAAATTTGAAATATGTAATATATCTTTAAAGATCTTTAATATAATTCTATTTTTGAAATGGTTTTATAATTCCGAAGTCTTCATTATTTCTCTTAAAGGATCAAACACAGATCTGAAGGCAATATCCGAATTTTTCATTCCTTTTCCAAGTCTCATCCCAAATAAAGTTTATTTACTGGTGTCTTAAACTTGAAATTGCTTAAAAGAAAATTACTTGAAATATTACCCAAAGCAAAAAAATGTCTGAAACATACACACTGTATGATATTCACCTTGTTCCACTGCTTTCTAGAGTGGAGTTTTTTATTCAGTCACTTTTCAAGTGCCGACATGAAAGGCTACGTAATTATGTGAAAAGCTACGGACGGCATATAACAACAACCATTGCAACATTCCCAATTATTCCTAATTTTTGATCAGCAGTGTGCTATATATCGTTGAAATATTGTTGAAACAAGACTCTCGGGAATAGTTTTTGTGAAATACTATCGGTGAACCGTGGTCTGATTCATTGGAGGTTTTAGTTCTAGCGGTATAACATTCTCTAAACGTGGAAGTTTCCTGAGTTGCCTTTTAAATTCGTTCCGATATTCCGTACTGCAATAACATTTTTTGTGTTCACAGTTGTAGATCTAACCAATTAATTCTAGCGCAAAATGTTTCAACGATAAAAAAGTATTTCTTTTGATGTTTTGTAAGATCAATTTTTACCTTCTCCAATAATAGAAGAACCAATTGCATGAAATGCTTAAATTAACAAATATTCCCGCGTAGCATCCTATGTAAAATGCTGTCATTTCGGAAAAATCGTAGAAAAGTGTTAACAAGTAGACCAACGTTGATGCTAGCTCTCCCAGTCCAATAAATATCACGATTATCTTTAATGTTTGTAACAATTCGATGTTCTTAGTTGCTGAAATAAGAAATGCAGCAGTGTTCAGTTATTCATGAAATCTTGACAGATATGACACTAATATAGAAATGACAGCATTTGAAGAGTAGAGGTGCGAGGCTAAGGTTACTGCG